CAATTTATACTGGAACCTGGGGTTGTTCCTCATACCATAAAGCAAAGGAGCACTAGTGTTGCAGTCATTCAGAACACACTTAAGCCTGGACAATAGTTGGTTTTATCTTGAAATGACCATATAACTCAAAACAACAGCAGACAATACTAAACTGATTCTATGTAAGCAGATGTCTGTTGGTGGGAAGCACATCCCAGCAAAGCCCCAGCAGCAGGAAAGATTTAAAACGGGGTAATGAATTTCATTGAGAGCCCATGCAGGTACCCCATCTGCTCAAGGGCTCTTGTTGTGTACAACATCAGCACTGTTCGTGTAGACAGTATGGACACCTATGGACACAAGGCTTCCGCTTGGCCTACAGCAGACTTGAACACTGCAAGACTGAGAAATGGTAGGCTCTTGAAGGTAGGATGCAGAGGGTGAAATACCTAGATCCACTGGTGGTTGTCCTTGTTTTATAACAGTCCAGTCCTGTTAGGGAGGACTTCTCTCTGTCCCATGCAGATTAATTTAACAGGCCCATACTCCAGTGAAAAGCCATCAACCTGTGTCCAAGAAACCTTGTCCATACCCAGTGGTTCTGTAAGAAATGAGCTGTCAGTGAAATACTACATTTCCAGCAAGAGATATCTTACTTGATCCCATTCTGGAGCTGGAAGCAAGCCCAGTGACAGGATTCAAATGACATCAAGATTCTTCATCAGCAAATGCAGCAATGACAAGAACAGTACGATGTTTAGTGCCTGTTTCAGTGAAGGTTTCAAGGTATATGGACTATGAACCCTTTTACTAAGCCTTTTGTCACAGTGTCAAATATACAGAAAAGCAGCAAGTAGCACATATGCTGTGCTAGAGAGGTGTGTGGGGGAGTAGAGGGCTACAGAATAACATAGCAGTCATTCCAAGTGCTATGCTGGGTGGACAAGACTAGGACAATACAGAGGGAGAGTAACTGGAGTAGTGGGGCACAAGACATGATGTATCACCTGGCCTGTAGCCCTCTGGCAGTACACACAACAGTTATGAACCTACCAGTAAATTTGGAACAAGAAGGCTGAGGAGATAAATCTGGCAAAGAGCTAGGATTCATAGGAAGAACTGGGACTCACTGAGCAAACAGAGAAGCCAAAAAGAAAGTAGGAGAGTGCAGGGAATAAATTAATAGCATAAGGAATGGGCGGAACAATCACAGGATGTTAGAGAGAGGCATTAACTGGGACTTGGGTGAACAAGTCAGCATAAAGGCACTGGAGATGGTTGGAGCAAGGAAACAAACTAGACCTGAAATAGGGCAGGAAGGAAGTAAGACTTCAATATTTAACTCAGAACCTGATTTAAATCAGGATGACAAAGTTGAGAAATGATAACTAAGAATAGATGTGATATATGAAGAACAAAAGAGTGAGTCAAGCTAAGGAAAGAGACAAGATGAAGGATGCTGACTCACAGGAAGGTGCATCACATATAGAAATAACCAACAAGTTTATGACATCTGTCTGT